TGGGACTAGAAAAAGTTCAGAGAAGGGCAACTAAAATGATTAGGGGTTTGGAATGGGTCCCATATGAGGAGAGATTAAAGAAGCTAGGACTTTTCAGCTTGGAAAAGAGGAGACTAAGGGGGGGATATGATAGAGGTATATAAAATCATGAGTGATGTGGAGAAAGTAGATAAGGAAAAGTTATTTACTTATTCCCATAATACAAGAACTGGGGGCCACCAAATGAAATTACTGGGCAGCAGGTTTAAAACAAATAAAAGGAAGTTCTTCTTCACACAGCGCACAGTCAACTTGTGGAACTCCTTACCTGAGGAGGTTGTGAAGGCTAGGACTATAACAGCGTTTAAAAGAGAACTGGATAAATTCATGGAGGTTAAGTCCATTGATGGCTATTAGCCAGGATGGGTAAGGAATGGTGTCCCTAGCCTCTGTTTGTCAGAGGGTGGAGATGGATGGCAGGAGAGAGATCACTTGATCATTACCTGTTAGGTTCACTCCCTCTGGGGCACCTGGCATTGGCCACTGTCGGTAGACAGGATACTGGGCTAGATGGACCTTTGGTCTAACCCAGTATGGCCGTTCTTATATTCTTATGTAGGTGCTACCGTGGTTAGGGTTCTTGCTTTTCATCACAAAGACATAGATTTGATGCCAGACAGGTTCAGTGTAAAATGACTTTTGATAGTGATAGTTACATTATTTTCTGAGGGATGGCTCTTCTCTATATACACTCTAGTTAAAAGTAAATATTGGTCATGATAATTAGAAGTTGCTATGTTTCATAATCTAATATAACAGTGATATGTCAGCCGGAGGTCCCCGCATGTTGTCTTCTTTGAGATTTAGCTTTGCTGTAATACTTTGTGGGCATAATGGACGGTGAAATTGAGGTCGTAGCACGAAACCACAGCTAGCTTTGATATTGACTGGGGGTGCTGAGAATGGTGCTGGGCCTTGTTTGGAAATGCTTCCTGGTTGGGTGTATTTATCTATGAAAATATTGAGGCAGGCATTTACCTAATTTACATGCACATACAGGGTTTAAAGCACAGAGGTGGTATGAGGTGGTGTACTTGCCACCTGTAGCACCCTCTTCCATAGTTCAGGCCTCCAGCCAAGTCACCTAAAGTTTAGTCCCCTTCTGGGGTAACAAAAAGATCCAAACAGAAGGCCTAAGGAATCAATAGTAATAATACTTCTTCAACCCCTCTCAGGTCAAACTAATAACTACTTCTCCAGGAGGAATTACCAGGCTATCCTCCCTCCCCCAGGGATACTGGCAGTTTACTACTGTGGTTTCCCTGCTCCCCACTCACAAGCCCCATTGCTGAACTTCTTCCAGAGAAGCCTCACTTGGACCCTGTGGATTTCTTCTATTCATGTAGGCCAGGGATGGGCAAACTTTTTGGCCCAAGGGCCACATCTGGGTGGGGAAATTGCATGCAGGGATATGAATGTAGGACTGGGGCAGGAAGTTGGGGTGCAGGAGGGAGTGCGGGGTGTGGGAGGGGGTGCGGTATGCAGGAAGGGGCTCAGGGCAAGGGGTTCGGGCACAGGAGGGATGTGAGGTGTACGAGGGGGCTCAGGGCAGGGGGTTGGGGATCAGGAGGGGTGTGACAGGGGGCTCAGGGCAGGGGGTTGGGGTGTGGGGTGGAGGAGAGGTTTGGGGTGCAGACTCCAGCCCAGCACTGCTTACCTTGAGTGGCTCCGGGGTGGCACCAGTGCACAGCAGGGCTAAGGCAGCCTGCCTGCCTGCCCTGGCCCTGCACCACTCCTGGAAGCAGCCGGCACCACGTCCCTGCGGCCCCTGTGGGAGGAGAGGGCAGTGTGTGGAGCCCTCTGCCCTCCTCCTCCCCCCAGGAGCTGCAGGGACGTGGTGCCGGCTGCTTCCAGGAGTGGCACGGGGCCAGGGCAGGCAGGGAGTCTGCCTTAGCCTGTGGTGCCACAGGGGTGGCAATCCTGCAGGCCGGATCCAAAGCCCTGATGGGCCAGATCCGGCCCGTGGGCCATAGTTTGCCCATCCCTGATGTAGGCCCTAACTCAGGGCTTCTCCACAGGAGCCTACTCTGCTCCCTATAGGTTTCTTCTACCAGACCACTCTCCTTCTTCCTCCTTTCCCTGAAACTAGTTTCCACCTGTAGCAATCTCTGGTCTGGAGACCTACACCAGTTCTCTTTCCAGAGCCTGATGAGAGGAATTCCATCATTGCTTCTCTTCCCCAGGGACCCTTGGCAAATCTACTGTCCACTCTGTGCCCTCCCCACCCTTCCAACCTGTAAAAACTCCAGGACTCCTCTCAAAGGAGCTGCTTTTATCTCCCCCTTCTAGTTAAGAAACTTTTCTTTTATATTGTTCAAGCAACCTCTTTCTAGCTCAGCTGTTCCATTACTAATTAGTTAAAGGGCACCAGCTGGAGCACTTTATTGCTCCCATGTGTAGCCTATAGGGTCATCCTGAGACAGTTAGGCCCTAATTCTTCTGAAGGGCCACTGGCCCCATGACAAGTGGTATTTGTGTGTTTTCTCCATGTGCATGGATTGTGCTCCTGTTTGAAAATTCTGGCTTATACACAGGGGTGGCTCCAGGCACCAGCGCAGCAAGCGTGTGCCTGGGGCGGCAAGCTGCGGGGGGCGGCCTGCTGGTTGCTGTGAGGGCGGCAGTCAGGCAGCCTTCGGTGGCATGCCTGTGGGAGGTCCGCCGGTCCCGTGGTTTCCATGGCAATTCGGCGGCAGGTATGGTGAAGCCACGGGACCAGCAGATCACCCACAGAAATGCCACTAAATCCACGTGACTGCGGACTGCCCACAGGCATGCCGCCGAAGGCCGCCTGACTGCTGTGCTTGGGGCAGCAAAAAACATAGAGCCGCCCCTGCTTATACATTTAATTGGAAATTTTAAGGTTATTATACCTTTGTGTATTTTTAATAGGAAATAGTAAAAATACTCCACTGATTCTCAGCCTGAGCATTTGAAGATATCCTAGTATCTCACAAATCCGAGACAGACGAATAAAACAATGGGTGGTTTGTGTCTGTTTGGTTTTTTATTAGTGAAGGGCTTAAAAAGTGACTGGATCCTGATTTTGAACACCCTGAAACTGAAGTTCAAAGATGCTTGGATCCCAGGCTTTTATGTGGCCCGTTAAAGGGACAGGTGCTACATGTATCTCAGATCAGATTTTAACTACTTCAAACTTCACATCTGGGATTTTCGTTTGGGTCAATCTCTTATTATTTATTTGCATTACAGCAGCCCCTTTAGGTCCCAACTGAGAATGGGTCCCCATTGCGCTAGGAACTATAGAAAGAGAGTATGAGCCAGACTCTTCCCCTTCAGTTCTAAATAGACAAGGAAAGGCAAAGCCAGAGGCATCTCTAGTCTTCCTTGTAAAGTCGTTGCTGCATACTTACAGGTTCCCTATCAGCCACTATGACTCACTGGGCAGAGTCCGGTGGCTGAGCCACTTCCTTTGGAATGTAAAGTACCATGCTACTTTTCAAAGGGTGTACTTTGAAAGGAACCAGGCTGGAGAAGAGGAGGAGAAAGTTGGATTTCTTACCTGTATTTTCGAACTGGCTTTCCGTATTTGAACGCTGGCTGCAGGTGATTAAAAACAAACACCTGGACATGCTTCCCATCAATTACAAGGTGTGAGCTAAAAGAAGGAGGAGTACTTGTGACACCTTAGAGACTAACAAATGTATTTGAGCATACGCTTTCATGGGCTAAAGCCCACTTCATCAGATGCATGCAGTGGAAAATACAGTAGGAAGATATATAAATATGAAAGCTTATGCTCAAATAAATTTGTTAGTCTCTTAGGTGCCACAAGTACTCCTTGTTCTTTTTGCTGATACAAACTAACACTTGGCTACCACTCTGAAACCCAAGGCGTGAGCTGCCTACTCAAAATACAAAAGGCATAACAGGGGCTCTTTTTGTTTGTGCTCCGAAGTGGAGTTATTTGCAACAAGGACGTCAGCGAACCTGTCATGGGAAATGAATATATTTCTGTCCTTGCCCCTGTGCTCAGTTTAACCTGTTAACAGAAAGCCGTGGTCCCTATTTGCTGAGATCGCACCTGCGCTCTGTTCCCGTTTGCAGGCAGCGAAGTGGTGAGCTAGAGATCCAAAAGGAGCTGTCCGGGACTCAAGTATGTAGAGAGCTGTTCACCGAGTCAGTTGCCGAGGAGCTGTCCAGCATTTCAGCACCTCTGCGCTTTCGGGATTGCCAGCTACCCGGGCAACCTTCAGCCCGCACTAACTGCAGAAGGACCCGCAGAAGGAAAGCAGATCCCAGGCGCTAAGGTAAGGAAGAAGAATGAATTTCAAAGCTTAAGACAGAAGCAGATCCACAATTCCAGGCGTGTGTGAGTGAGTCAGATTTGGGGAGAGAAGGGGTGTGTGTGAGAAAGAGAAAGGAAACCGGTAGGATCCCCTTTAGATGACATGCCCCTGAGATCTGCTGCTCTGCGTTGTCTCTTTGTAAATGTGCTTCATAACTATCTTTTTATTTATGTGTCTGTGTGGCGCTCAGTTTCAACGCAACCCACCCTAAGAGGCGAAACGGAGCACGTGGAAGGTGCTTGGGCTGTGAGGTGCCTATTTCCATGTTTTCTGACAATGGGCATTTCTCTTGGTGAGGAAGCCCGAACTTAAGTGTGTGTTTTCCATTGTCCCTGCAAGGATCTCCGGTGAGGAGAAGAGGAGTGATGGGCAAAGAGGTGGGATGACGAGAGACCTCTCCGGTGCAGGGCCAGAATTAAAGGTCTAAATCCAAGCCAAAGAGGCAGCGCCTTCTAGGTTCACCCCGGAAATCTGAAGCGGTCTGGTGCCGGTGACATATACCTCGACCTGGTGTTTGAGCCGAGCTGGGCTAGCTGGATTCAGCCCACGCTTCACTCCCTTGGGGGAGCCGCGGCTGGTCTTTCTTTCCCACCGCAGCCCATGGCTAACTTCTCCTCGCACTCCGAGCCCAACGCGTCCTGCGCGTTCTGCGCCGGCAGAGGGGCCCCCTGGCCCAACGCCTCCGCCCCGCAGCTGCTCCCCGACTTCTACCTGACCGTGCCCATCATCTACTCCCTCATCTGCGCCCTGGGGCTGACGGGCAACACCGCCGTCATCTACGTGATCCTGCGAGCTCCCAAGATGAAGACGGTCACCAACCTCTTCATCCTCAACCTGGCCGTGGCCGACGAGCTCTTCACCCTGGTGCTGCCCATCAACATCGCCGACCACCTGCTGCGGCAGTGGCCCTTCGGCGAGTTCATGTGCAAGCTGATCATCTCCATCGACCAGTACAACACCTTCTCCAGCATCTACTTCCTCACCGTCATGAGCATCGACCGCTACCTGGTGGTGGTGGCCACGCTCCGGTCCAGGAAGATGTCCTACCGCACCTACCGCGCCGCCAAGCTGGCCAGCCTGGCCGTCTGGGCCTTGGTCTCCATTGTCATCTCGCCCTTCGCGGTGTTCGCCAAGCTCCACCGGGAGCAGGGGCGCTCCCAGTGCGTCTTCGTCTTCCCCAGCCCGGAAAGCTTCTGGTGGAAAGTCAGCCGCCTCTACACCCTCCTGCTGGGCTTCGCCATCCCCGTCTCCACCATCTGCGTCCTCTACGCCGCCCTGCTAGCCAAGCTGAGACGCGTGCGCCTCCACAGCAACGCCAAAGCCCTGGACAAAGCCAAAAAGAAAGTGACGCTGATGGTGCTGGTCATCCTGGCCGTGTGCCTCTTCTGCTGGACCCCCTACCACCTCAGCACGGTGGTGGCCCTCACCACGGACCTCCCGCAGACCCCCCTGATCATCGGCATCTCCTATTTCATCACCAGCCTCAGCTACGCCAACAGCTGCCTCAACCCGTTCTTGTATGCCTTCTTGGACGATAATTTCCGGAAGAGCTTTCGCAAGCTGGTTGAATGCAGGGCGTCCCCCTAGAGCCCCCAGGCGCGGCTGCGCTCCTTTGTCATTTTCAAAGGGGAAAAGCGCATCCCAGGGGACAAGACTCGGACGCCGGTCTGCGAACCAGCCTTGATCAAGCTTTAGATCCAATGTACTCGTGAAATCAAAGCACAGGCAGGATCCATTTCTTTTCGGTTTGTCTTGCAGCCAGTGGCACAGTGTTCATAGGGGAGGAATGGGGCTTTTTAAATCCACACTAGTTCCTTGGCCTAGTCTTACCCATCACGCTCATTCTTTTTCCTTCAGTAGGGTGCTCTAGAGTCCTGGAGGTTGTATATTATGGAGCAGGAGCAAAATTCAACATTTTACAAGATGTTAGTGAAGAATAGCTAAGTACTTTGACATCTATCTATATTACTGGAGATCTGTAAAGCCAAATAAAGATATTTTATTGAGTGCCTTGCTTAATGAATCTTAAGCCTGCTAGTTTTATATCTGCCGTACTTAAGTTGTAGCTCAGCTTCACTCCCTTACTCTTCTAAATAAATACACCATAATTAAAAGAGCCTATGCTTTCATAGCAACCTGATATACCCCCGTCACCCTCTGGTCTGAGGCGCGTTGTTACTCAGAATCAGATCTCATATTTCAGTCCAGAAGCAGCAGAAATAATGCAGTGCTCAGTGTAAATGCTCAGAGGCTACCATGTATAAATCTCCTTCCCTATACATGAATGATTGTTAAAATGTTTTTTGCATGGAATACTATCCTGCTGGCTAAAAGTCAGTCTGACCTTTCCGAACACATTTGAAAAAGAAATCACTATCTGGTTTTAGATCCTGTAGATTAGGCTATAATTCTACATCTTTAACAACCTTTGAAAGACAGATCTCCCAACGAGAAAGAATAAGGGAAAGCACTAGTAACACAACGAAGCTTATTTCCTTTTAGATGGGACCTAAATATGCCTATTAACGTCTCCTGAAATCCCACTGCTTTTTCTGCACGTAGCAAGGAGCCTTTGCATTGGCTTTAAGAAAGAAGAAAAGAGGAATCATAGTGTGTAGAAATATGGATGTGTGTTTGGAGCCACCTTCTGTAGAAACTGGCATTTTCAGCCCAGCAAACTCTTCTATAATATAAAGTTCTCAGTTCCTGTTAGGACCAGAATATATGGTTAGGTTTATGTGCAATACATACATTTATGATAGGTTTCTACATCTTCTCAAAAACGCTCAGACTCCCCCCCCCCCAGCTACTTAAGGATCAGATGTTATTTCAGTATAAATCCTCACTTCAGAGATAACACTTTTAAAAGGGGTTCTGTCAAAAACAAACAAAAAACCCTACTTCCACCCCTTAGCAGTCACATGTTAGCTTAACACTACTTTCAGAATAAAAAGTTAACATATTATTCATTATTTTGCCTTCAAAAATCCTATTTATCTTAACTTGGACAATGAGAATAAAAAGATGAATTTGGCTCTTTTCAGTTTCACCCTTGTTCACATGCTGAAACAGTTCAGGGGAAGGTTGCATTTTTCCCCCCACTTCACTTCTCTCCTACCCCCACAAGGAAAATTGACAGATTTGAAATATAGTTTGTAAAAATATTTCCAGGCATATAAGATTTTGAAACTGCAAAACTTTGTGGTCATGTCTACTATTATTAATTCATATTACAGTAGCATTTAGGAGCCCCAGCCATGAACCAGGACCCCGTTGTGCTAGGCACTGCACAAGGACAGTCTTGTCTACTTGATTTTTATGTGGCTGAAACTTACTATGTAAAAATAAAAAATAGTCAAATGTAAATACCCAGATCATCTTTTGTTTCTAAAACTAGGGTATATAAATCGATATAGATTCTCGTTAGACAAACATCAATCAATAATACTCTTTATCTGAGGAATGGTGAAGATGATAGTTTTTCTTGTTGTGAATAATAGTGGAGATACAATTTTTTTTTAATTGCCCTAATGAAAAAAATGGCTACACTTCAAAAGCTGACAGGTTTGAAAACATATTGAGTCAAATCTTCTGAAGTTGGTATTTACAAGACCTAGTCACACTTTTTTCCATATGCTTAGTGACTAAGATATACTAATAGCAAATGCTTAGTTAAAGTTACAGTGCAGCATTTATATAAATTTCCCTATTATTTGGAAGTGTAGAGCTGGTACGATTAGCTGGTTACATTTGTGTCATTGCTACTGATGTATTAAGAGATTGTTGTATATGTGCACTGCTTTCAAATGATGCACTTATTAAAAATCATGGTACTGTATATTTTAAAGCTGCTCCAGCTTCTTAAATGTAAACATGTATAACATTAGCACCATATAGTTTAATCAGTGTAATAAATATTCAGGCCTAAATCCAGCTGCTGCCTCCACGGGTGCCTCTGACAGCAGAAGTGATGCATTACCACTGTGCAATAAGGCAGGTCTGGTTTCCAGGGGCCATACAGGGGTCTGCGCAAGACTTGCACAGAGCAGAGCTCAGGTCGCAAATGCCCTCTGTATGGCAATGCAAAGGGGCCACCTCCAACGCAGCACCAAAAAGTGAGTGGGAACAGGTAATTGGGTGGTCTAATTGAAGTCTGGAGGATCTGCTACTGATGGAGACCTTCAATCTTCCCCCTGTGAGCAGGACACAATATGGGGCTTATATGCTAAGTCAATCATTGGGATGAAGTGCCCCTTTTGAAGCCACTCTTCTACCATACCATGGTTTGGCTTGGTTATCTGGGCTGGTGCTGGACTAGCAGAGGAGGAATAATACAGAAAAAAATAGTTTTACCCCAAGAAGACTCTCTTAGAATCTGGGGAAAAAAACAGAATTAAAATATCTGCACACTTTGTGGTGTTTTATTCTTTCTGAGAATTACAGTGCTCATGAAAGTCTGGGATTTTCTATACTAACTATAACCAAGCATTGTGTAGTCTTTCCCTGAGAACTTGGCCATGTCTTCGCACTGAGTAGTGGCTTTCCTGCTACTTCAGTTCTTGGACTTTACCAGAGTAAAGTATAAAGAGCCGTCAAATTATGTGATGGGACAAACAACCACTAAGAACTAATTTCAGATCATCAGCGCCTTTACTTTACCTCCTTTTTTGGGGCATGATTTGAACTCAAGTCAGCAGAAGCAAAAAAATCTAGAGATACTACACCACTTTGGCCACATTTGATCTTTAATTTAAGGAGTATGTGTGAATGTCAACACTTGGATAATAAAATATTTGTTAGTGTAGTATAACTTTAGCTCAATACTATGTCAATAATTCCTTATACACAGTAAACACATACTACTGTATCATTCCATTCTTATGAATAGTTCCTGCATGGCAATGGACGAGAGAGGTATGAAATTCCATTTAATCACAGGGATCACTAATAGCATGTATATCACAAAGAGTTTTTTTTTTTTTTTTTTTTTGTCTGTTTGTAAAGGCATCTCTAGGATAAGCATCTTGCTGCAGTGGCTGGGTAAGAGCTAAATGACCATTTCCATTAGAATGGTCTCATCAGTGTAACCACTGACCCTTTCAGTAATCTAAATTTAATACCTTAAGCTAAGCTCAATAGGCATTTCAAAGCTCAAGATTTAACTCGTCCCTTTATCCTGCGTGACAGTCCTCGCTCGAGGGTTGATTGGTCAGGTAGTGTTACCTAGTGGTCAGGGGTTAGACCTGTGACCTGCCAGGGGGAAGGGGTTATTGGTAGGGGAGCCCAGTCCCTCCCCCTCCACCAGGCTCTGACCCAGGGCCCTTTGAGGGTCCTATGATCTGACAGCGGGGGATGCTTAAGGCTGCCCTCCCTCCACCACTCCCTATCAACATTCCCCTCCACTCCCATGATTGTCTGAAAGTCGACATCTGAGTTAAGGCTGCATGAGGGATGTCCACTCACCACCAGGCACTTCCTGGCAGCTGCGTGTAGTGTGGTAGCTCTTTTTTGCTCTTGGGCAGCAACTGCCTCCTCCTGGGGTATGGCCAGATCAGTCCTAGGGCTTTCCCCTGCTGGGGCAGTCCAAACCAAGCAAAGGGAATTACCAAAGTCTGGAGTTCGTATGAGGTGGGAGAGGGGAATGTTTCCCCCTCAGGCAGTCTCTGCAGCACGTCCTCCCTTCCCTCAGGGAAGGATTTATGGGCAGTTGTCTTAGGGAGAGATTTTACCTTCCCTCAGCTCTCCTCTGCTGGAGGAGCAGGTTGCAGGTCTGCTCTCTTCCCTGGGCTGCCACCAAATAAGCTGCTCCCCTGCCTTTTAACTCCTCCTCCAGTTGGTGCGTTTCCTACAGGTGTGGTGGAGACAGGGCTGGCTCAGCCCAGAGGAGTTCCTTATCCCCTTGTTGCCCGCCCAGGGTGGAGTTTGTACACTCCATCAAACCTTGCTAGCAAAAATTGACTTCACTGTGGTTGCATGGGTATAGCTAAGTATGAAATGTCATCCTTTGATACTACAATCCATTTTTTAATGGAAAGTGAGGCAGTCAGCCATGTGCTGAGCTTCTGAATTATGAATTTCCATTAAGAGCTGGTCGGAAAACCAAATTTACATTCCATGGGAAATTCTGACATTTTGAAATTTGTTTTCATTCTGCATCAGAACAAATTTCACATTTCTCACAAAACAGAAATTCTGAGAAATTTTGATTCAGACACATTAACATGTTTCATTTTGATAGCAGCAAATTGACATCATCAAAATGAAATGTTTTGTTTTGATAGGGTAATTTTTGTATAGATAATGTCAGCACATTATGTATACTCGATCATAATTAATACTGTATAACGTACAATTTATGATATAAATATAATCAAAATAATATTTTAAAAGTCCAGATGAAATGAGAAAGTGAAAACAATTAATTTAGGCTTTTTTTCCCCCATAGAAAAGTTTGTGAAAATCAACAGAGTCCCACCAGACATTTTGATAAAACAGCTTTGTAAGTAAACAACATCTTTCAGAGAAAATTCATATTTTACTAGGTCTATTTTAAAAGCATTTCCCCCTTACGACTTTCTCAGTGATTGCTGAGACATTCAAAGTCCATTTGAACAGCCATTCTAGCACAGCTCAGATAGACACTGAAGGAATTCGTCTTTGGGTGGGGGGGAGACATCTCTTAGAGCCTGATTCTGCTTCATTCAAGCCAATGGGGGATTCATGATTGATTTCATTGGCCATCTATCAGCCACCCCAGGAGGTATGGAGTACCAATCTCTATCCTATATACATGGGAACTTTCTGTTATCAGTTACATTTTGTTTCAGGAAGCAAGACTAAGTGGAATGGCATGTAAATTTAGTACCAAGAACATGTCATCTCAACTAAACTTGTAAATTGTGATTACACTTATCTTTAGGAAATGTTACAAATAGACTTCAGTGCCTCAGCAAATTAGTGTCAAATCCATTTAATGGCATGCTGCAATTTATGTTCCAGGAAAAGTGAAGAAAAAGACAGCTTTGTAAGTAAACAACATAATTCAAACAAAAGTCATGTTTTACTTAATGATCATCAAGTGTGGCTTAAATAACACAAGAGGAACATCCTTTCTGGTTAATAAAGTCATGAAAACAGCAGGCGAGTTTAAGACGTGAATGTGAGTGTTGTCCATGATGCTAGCTGCCTGCGGATTTTGTTTAAACTGATGTGCAGTGATACTTGTCTCATCCCCTGTTGGGACTTCTATTAACCCTGGCAATGTGACTTGGATACAAACAGCTGCGCAGTGCTTCTGTGAAGTTTGACTTGGTCCTATAGAGCAAATGCCCTAGTCAGCCGTCCAGTTTATACTAACAATAGGTTAAAATATGTATTCAACCCCATTGTTATCCAGTTGTGGATGCCTGCATCTTAACCAATTTCTGGGGCAGTGTGATCTGGATCAGAAGGAAAAACCCTGTGACTATTTCTATTTAGGGGCTTCTGTTTGAGGACTAACTAAAGAAACCATTTTGAGGCATTTCCTTCCCTTGTGTGTGGGAGACTTGTGTTTCCCCCTTTCCCTTCCTCTGAACACATTTCTCACTGGCCGGGAGGGGGACGGGACGGACACAATGGGTTACACCCTGGCATCTGTCACCAGATAAACATTATTTCACATTGCCTCTTATGCATGTTCAGCAATTGCAGAAAGATCATTTGGCTTGTCTGTCATTGTGCTGGAATGTAAACATAAATTCAGAAAAACACTATTACTTGTGGCAAATACAATCCATTAATACCTTCTTTGCTACCTTTATGTGCAGTAGCAACCCCCATGTCATGTTCTGAACACTGGCCCAAAAGTACACAACATATGGATTTGATATTCAAGATGAAATGTTCAGGTTACCAGGAATAACATTTCTATCTGTTTCTGGGGGTACATGAATGCCCCCTCCAAACAATTAATGCCTCAGATACATTTATAATGTATTTTCCTCACATCAACCCTGTGCAGCAGAGAAGCATTATTTTCCCTAATTCTCAGAATCTGAGAGATTATGGGCCTGGGTTTCAGTGACCACTTGCAGCTCCCATTGAACTCAAGCTGTGGGTATTCACCATTAATGAAAATCAGGTCCAACACTTAAACTTTTCAGAAGCACCTAAGTAGCTTAGAAGCTTAAAGCCCATTTTCAAAAGTGGCTTAGGCACTAAGGAGCCTAAGTCTTGTTGAATTTCAATGAGACTTAGACTCCTAAGTGCCTAAATCACTATTAAAATGGAACTTAGGCCCATAAGTCATTTACACATTTTTAAAACTTTTGCCCAATGGCTATGCCTACATTTGCGAGTGTACATAGTTACATGTGTGTTCTTGTGCCATAACCCCTGTCCTGTCTACAGATGAAGCCATGAAGACCATTCCTGAAGGACAGTCTAGTGCAAGAAAGCTAGCA